ATGTAGAATCATTTATTAATATCTGTGGACAAGAAGGCTTCTATGTCAATAATTGAGTTTGCAAACATATTGTTGATATTGTATAGATGCTCGTCCTGCATAAAAGTTTGATTCAGTGACTCTGTACACGTGTATGAGGGAGAGACAGAGACACAAAGAAATAGAGAAATTGATATCACTTGTATTACCAAGACAATACCTTCAGTAAATGAAACAGAAACCATTATTTTTTGGGTTACCACTTAGTGACACTTGATGAGAAGGATTTCTGTTGTTCAGGTAAAGTAATATAGATTTCTTTCACTAATTGAATTATAGCTCTTGCACTGGGGGCTTCGAGTCCAAAGCACCATCCACATCTAACTTCTATTGCCACAGACGAGTCTTTCTAATTCCACTTCCTACGCACCTTCCATAGAATAAGAAACCTTCCTGCTAGGAATGAGGACAGCTTAGAGAATTGACACTTTAGACAGATTTTATAAAAACACATTGATTTTCCCTGTGCATATACCTACCTGTGCATAAGAAAAAAATCTTCTTGGAGGCATCCCATCTGCCATGATCAATGAATAATTCAGAAGGATTTATAAGCGTCGAATTAACCACTATGGGGCTTTCTCGGTGGGGAATACAGATAGAACCCTGAAGTAATTAAAATGTCACCTATTGCATCATCTGTAATGTAAAGTGAATCTCAAGAGCAAAATGTCTCTAAACAGAACTAGACCTTTTAAAAACAAGGGCTTGAAAAATTTGAGGTTTTGCTTTCTTCCTGTTTAAAATGTTTTCTATGTATCCTAGGGACTGTATTGCATTTGTTTGGAGGGGAAAAATGGTCTTGTTTTCCCATGTAATAAGAATCATGTCAATATCACATCAGTCACAAAATACATTTGGAATAACTTATACTTCACAATAGGCACACTAGCACTTTTTCTGTATTAATGAAGAAAGTTTCTTCCCTTTTTGAGTAAGAAAGTTAGTAAAAACTGAGAGAATAAAGGAGGATACATTTCCTATGAATAGTCATCGATGAACCCTAAATGGGCTTCTCCTTTCTGAAACGAGAAATATAATTCTCTAAAACCAACTTAATTCCAAGGTTAGGGTTGATCATTTCCCATTGTTGTTTATGTTGTTTTGTTCTTTTTAATATTTAAAAATATATTCCTTGATGTATTGTTTCCATTGATAAAACTGATTTCTAGTCGCTATTTTCTTCATGTTTATAGTTTCCACCAATTTAGGAGAGAAAAATAAATTAATGTGCTTAAGAAATATGATTTAAATTTATATTGACAAAGATAATTGTTAGAAAATGTAGTGGATATACTTTCAGTTCACAATCTCTATATCATAAAGCATGCAACTCTATTTCTCTAATTGAGCTTGATTAATATTTTGAGGTTCTACAAAAAATTAGCTGGGCATGGTGGTGGGCGCCTGTAGTCCCAGCTACTCGGGAGGCTGAGGCAGGAGAATGGCATGAACCCGGGAGGCAGAGCTTGCAGTGAGCCGAGACTGCGCCACTGCACTCCAGCCTGGGCGACAGAGCGAGACTCTGTCTCAAAACAAAAACAAACAAACAACAGCAACAACAATAAAAATATATATATGTGTATGTGTGTACATATATGTGTGTGTGTGTGTGTGTATATATATATATGGCGGGGGAGAGAGAGAGGGAGGTTCTGTTTTTCACGTTGGAAAATACTAACCTGATTGGTTTCTCTTACTGCTTTCCTCAGGCTGCATCTGAGTGCTAGCAGATGAATATACTCCAAAGCATTGAAAAACAATTGTTAGTTGTCGTGGTGGTGGTGGTGGTGGTGGTGGTTTCTGAGATAGGGTCTTGCTCTGTCACCCAGGCTGAAGTGCAGTGGTACAATCTTGGCTCACTGCAGCCTCAACCTCCTGGGCTCAAGCCATCCTCCCACTTCAGCCTCTCGGTAACTGGAACTACAAGCTGATGCCACCACGCCCAGCGAATTTTTTTGTACTTTTTGTAGAGATGAGGTCTTGCTATGTTGCCTAGGCTAGTCTCAAACTCTGGGGCTCTTGCCTCAGCCTCCCAAAGTGCTGGTATTACAGGCATGAGTCACTGCACCTGGTGAAAAAACACAATTCTTGATCTTGATGTCATCATCTATAGATATCAGTATTCATTTATTTATTCATTTATGCATTTACTGTGCGCCTGGAAACATAGTTCAAAAACTTGTGTCTATGCTCATGGATTTTATATTCTAGTGATGCATTCTTACTCTTATTTGATCACTGCTGAGTTTTCTGTATTCCAAACTTTGAGACCTCTTAATTTTTCCCAAATTTTATTAATTTATTTTTTATTTTTGGGATGGGGTATCTCTTTGTTTCCCAGGCTGAAGTGCAGATGCACAATACAGGCTCACTGTAGCTTCAATCTCTCAGTCTCAAGGAATTCTCCCACCCCATCCTCCCAGGTAGCTGCAACTACAGACAGGTACCACCACTCCCGACTAGTTTTTTGTTTGTTTGTTTTTGTGCAGACAACATCTCACTGTATTGCACAGGCTGATCTCAAACTCCTCAATTCAGCGATCCTCCTGCCTTGGCCTTCCAAAGTGCTAGGATTATAGGGATGAGTCACCCTGCCTGGCAAATTTTTTTTTCCAATTTTATACTCTATTTTTTATTCAAATAACATAGAGCATTTTGGAGCTATCATGCAACCCTGGATCACAGACTTGCCATCAGTGTCTGAAGTGGCTAGGGGATGTGGGGCGAAGGAATATTGTGGGGTGAGCCTGTGTGATCTGAGGCAAATGCCAGGTAGATAGTGTCAGAATTGAATTGAATTGTAGGAAAAGTTGGTATCCACAGAGAATTGGAGAATTGCTTTGTGGAAAATACACACACACACACACACACACACACATAAAAGTGTGTGTGAGTGTGTTAAAGGTAAAACAGTTCAATTTTCTTTCAGATATATATGATCATGGAATATTAACTAACATTGACTCAATGGAATTATGGTCTAGAACATAAGGCTGTGTGGGCCATCTATCAGTCAATAAGATTTTAATAAATGCTCATGGGTCTCTGAAGATCATATTCCCTTTTTTCCTAAGCATAACAATTAACACGATAAACTGTACCTCTACTGGCAAAATTATTTTCAATCCAAAGATGTCTTTGTTGAACTAATGGTTAGATATTATTGGTTAACATCAATATAACAAAATGATGATAGTCATTGTATTTAAATTACTGTCTTATCCATTCCTTTAACTTTTAAAGTAGGGTTAGATGTGAGAAGAAACACCATCAGGCTTGGTCAGTACTTAGGATATCAGGCACATCTTTGCTAGGTATTGCTTCTCCTGCTATGCAGTAATTCAGCTTGTAACCCCTAATAGTTTTGTTTCTGTTTCCAATCTTTAGGTGGTTGGATAATGTTCTTTCATTAGCACCACAGAAGGAGAGTTCTAGGTCCTCAAACTATTCATCAGGCTGAGAAGCATCTTTAGATGATTGGGTAAACAGCCAAGTAACCTGATTCCAACTCTTTCCTGATACTTGGATTTTATTTTATTTTATTTTTTCAGAGACAGGGTCTTTCTCTGTTGCTCAGGCTGAAGTGAGTGGCTGAGTGGCATAGTCACACCTCACTTCAGCCTCGAACTCCTGAGCTCAGGTGATCCTTCCGCCTTAGCCTCCTAAAGTGCTGGGATACAGGCATGAGCCACTGTGACTGGCTGGATTGGAATTTTTTGACACCATGGCTTCACACTTACAAGGAATTCCCTTATGACAATGGTCCATGAAGACCACAAGTCCTCTCTTTTGACACAGATTATAACGTTGTATTTGCCTTTGCTGCTAAGACATTTTAACATGGTCAGGTATGGTGGCTCATGCTTGTAATCCCAAACACTTTTTGAGGCCGAAGCAGGCACATTGCTTGAGCTCAGAAGTTCAAGAGCAGCCTGGGCAATGTGTTGAAATCCTGTCTCTACCAAAAATACACAAAAATTTGCCAGGTGTGGTGGCATGATCCTGTGGTCTCAGCTACTTGGGAGGTTGAGGAGGAAGGGTTGCTTGAGCCTGGGAGGTGGAGGCTGCAGTGAGCTGAGATCGCGTCACTGCACTCCAGCTTGGGTGACAGAGGGAGACGCCACCCATCTCAAAAAAAAAAAAAAAGACGTCGTAAGATATAGTGTTGATCAATGGAGAAACTAAGTAAGAAAATTTTAGCACACACTTGCTGATTGTTGATTTAACATCAACAATGTTGATCCTTCTCTAACAACCTCTAAAGATGAAGGAATATTGTAATTTGGCTGAGACCATATTAGAATCCTTCATGGTATAATGATAAGTGAAATGGAAGGAAAGTAAGAATATAGTAATTTACTTGCACTGGGGTGGGCTTCCCTGCTCATGTTGACATTTAAATACAACTAAATCTAAGCATCATGATTTATAAAAATAACTAGTGAAATGACTGTTATCAAAACAAAATAAGGCAAAAATTTAGTTTTGCATCTTTTTTTTTTTAGACGGTATCTTGTTCTGTTGCCAGGCTGGAGTGCAGTGGCTCTATCTCGGCTCACTGCAACCTCTGCCTCCCAGGTTCAAGTGATTCTCCTGCCTCTGCCTCCCAAGTAGCTGGGATTACAAGCAACCATCACCACACCCGGCTAATTTTTGTATTTTTAGTAGAGACGGGGCTTTACCATGTTGACCAGGATGATCTCGATCTCTTGACCTCGTGATCCGCCCACCTCAGTCTCCCAAAGTGCTGAGAATTACAGGCATGAGCCACCGCGCAAGCCTAAATGGAATCTTCTGCTCTTCCCATTTCAACTCACTAGTTTCAGGAAGCTTAACTCAGTCAGCTACCTCACAGAAAATCAGAAATGAATTGTGCAAATTTAGCCTAAAATGTGAAATCTAACCCAATGATATTATATCTCATTACTTCACAAATTTTTAACGATAGCTTAGCATTTTTATTCTCCCAATGTTTGTTTTCCTATTGCTTTTTTAAATGCCTGTTTCACATCCTTGTTCCTGAGGCCATAGATCATGGGGTTCAGCATGGGTATCACTGTGGTGTAAAACACAGCCACCATTTTCCCCTGCTCCACGGACTCCTCTGTGGGGCGTCTCAAATGCATGCAGAAGAGGGTTCCATAGAAGATTGTGACAACTGTCAGGTGGGAGCCACATGTGGAAAAAGCTTTTTTCCTTCCCTCTGCAGAACGGCTTCTGAGGATAGCGACAAGGATGAACATGTAGGATGTGAGAATGATGAGAAGGGACTGGACGTTGCTGTAGCCAGCTACTATGTACATGGACAGCTCCTTGCTGTATGTGTCATAGCATGCCAGTTTGATAAGAGGAGGATCAGCACAGTAGAAATGGTTGATTTCATTAGCACCACAGAAGGAGAGGTTGTAGGTCCTTAAGGTTTCCATCATGCTGAGAAGAAAACCATACACATAAGGGACAATGACTAGGTGGACACAAACACCTTGGGACATTTTGCTACTGTAGAGCAATGGATTACAGATGGCCATGTAGCGGTCATATGCCATGACTGCCAACATGCAGTGCTCTGTAAGGACCACAGCAATGACAACATAGCACTGCACCAAACAACCTGCATAGGAAATAGTCTTCTTCTCCGAAAAGAAATTTTCTAGCATTTTGGGAGTGACATTTGTGGAGAAACACAGATCTAGAATGGACAAACTGGAGAGAAAAAAGTACATGGGAGTGTGAAGTCGAGAATCAACTTTGATTAAAATAATCATCCCCAAGTTTCCTACCACAGTGACTATGTAGACAAAAAGGAACAGCGCAAAGAAGGCAACTTGCAGCTCTGGACGGCTTGTTAGACCCAAGAGAACAAATTCTGTCACTTCAGTATAGTTTCTTCTGGACATTTCTTTGTCTCATGTGAGAGGCATTGGTCTGATTAAGGAGAAATAGAAACTTTTTAAAAATCACTGACACCCTAGTTAAATATCATGCTTTGTATAAAAAAGCCAAAAGGCTTTAATTATGTTATCTCAGTAGCAGTTCTGTAACTGAAGATGAACAGTTATACTATGAAACAAGTCTAAACATTTGCAACAAGTGGCTTCCATTGAGGCTGAATTTGTAATCACAGTGTGCAATTAAGTTGGAGGCTTAATGCAAAATTATAAATGAAAGTATCCCTATACTTTGGGAAATTTCTTTTAAAAATCTAGATAACTTATATGTTAAAGATTAAATTGTAATAGAGATTTTGAAATGCTTAGAACTTCTACTGACCTGCTTTCATATACATACAAAGCTACATAAGAGGTGGAAAGGACTTTGAAGATAACCCAGGCAAAGTTCTTCATTCTGAAGACTGAGAAACTGAATCCTAGAGAGATGAAGTGACTAATCCCAGTCAGATGCTTATCTCATACATCCCCATTCGGTGATCTGCTAATATCTCACCAAGTTTGATTTACTGTCTTGAACCTAAAAACATGTATTTATATATTTTGTTGTTTTTGGTGGTAGTGCTTTCGGTGGTGATGTGGATGCTGGTGCTTTGTGTTATAAATTAGTTTTTGAGAACTCGTGTAAATAAAGCCTTTCGTTTGAGTCTTAAACATTGATATCATGTGTTTATAAGCATTTTGTCCAATTTTCACACCACAATTTAGCCTGTCTGTTGGGTTAAACAAGTGTATTTATGCTCCTTCATCAATATCTTAATTCTATATGAAATTTTATATGTATCTTTGAGGTATCAATCTATGTTTTAATTTGTTCCTGTATTTTAATTTCTCACTATTTTACTAAATTCATGCTGCACAGAACCAACATTATAGTCCTCTGCTTGGCTCACATGCTCTTTTATATTGCTGTATAAAGAAGTCCTATATCAGTGAATTTCCCATTCCTCCATTATGTTAACCCTGATGTATAGGTTAGTCATTAGGATAAAAGGAATTAACTTAATCACCCTAAGATGATTAAAAAAAAATGTTTTCTGGTTCTCAATCTGTACTTACTCGCTGCTAATATGCCCAGAATAAATTATCTGATCTACTTTGATGCCATTGCCACACAACATTAAAAAGCCTTAAAAATGGGCTGGATGTGGTGGCTTATGCCTGTAATCCCAGCACTTTGGGAGGCCAAGACGTGTTGATCACTTCTGGTCATGAGTTCAAGACCAGCCTGTCCAACATGGTGAAAACCCGTCTCTACTAAAAATACAAAAAATCAGCCAGGTATGGTGATGTGCACCTGTAACCCCAGCTACTCAGGAGGTTGAGGCAGGAGAATCACTTAAACACAGGAGGCAGAGGTTGTAGTGAGCTGAGATCATGCCAGTGCACCCCAGCCTGGGTGACAGAGAGAGCTGAGACTTCATCAGAAAGAAGGAAGGAAGGAAGGAAGGAAGGAAGGAAGGAAGGAAGGAAGGGAGGGAAGGAAGGAAGGAGGGAGGAAGAAGGAAGGAAGGAAGGAGAAAAGAAAAGAAAGGAAGAAAGAGAAAGAGAGGAAGAGAGGGAGGGAGGGAAGGAAGGAAGGAAGGAGGGAAAAGAAAGAGAGTTAAAAATGGAGTGAGATTCTTTGTTCACTGAGGGAAGGATACAATAGCGTAAAAAGATCAATCTTTCCTAAATGATCCATAGAGTCAAATAAATTCCAATCAAAATTCAATCACAATTCTTGTGGAATAGCTGATTCTAATATTTATATGGAAGTGTAAAATAGGAAGAGTCAATATCTCCCAGGACAATAAGCAGTTACTTATTAGATATCAAGATTTACTATAAAACCAGTATTCAGGACAGTGTGTTATTGACATGAAATTGGAAAAAAAAAAAAAAAACACACACACTTTTATGTTCCAGAATAGAAAGTGCAGGAATGGTTATATGTATATAGGTGATGTGACATATAACAAAGATGATGCTTCAGATCGGAGTTGGAAAGATGGACTGTTTTAGTGTTTACTATTGGATTAATGGATGATAGATTATTTAAATGGGAAAATTATTAAATGGTGTATTTACTTTAAACAATGCACAGAAATTACTTATAATTCTAGGGAGTGGTTTAATGTGTATTCATTATATTTTGTAGCTTGTAATTTATATAGACATTACGCATTTACTGAATTTATCAAAAATTATTTTAAATATATAAAATATCAAATTAAGTTAAAATATCATATGTGTTAATCTGTCTCCAAATTTTGATTAACAATTTCAGTATACTAACAATTGCATAAAATGAAATTTACAACTAATTTTTTTTCCATGGGGCAATTCAGACATGAGCAAATGTCATTAATGGAGAACTTGTCAGAGGCTGATAAAACTTACCTCTTCTGAGCAGGCTCAGGAAATCAATAAGAGTAGCACTTTATTTTTCACCTAATCTAAGAATATCAGACAAATATTTTCTATTAAATTGCATGAGATCTTACAACAATTGTTAAACTCTTATTAAAGTGAAATTTTATACTTAAAAAAATACTAATTCACTTTGTAATACGTTGTCAACCATGCATTTATGTATGCATGCATGCTTATAGCAAATAATTATTGAGCATTTTTCAAGTTCCAGACATGGTGCTGGATGCTAGAAGTGGAGCACTGGACAACATAGAGGAAGTAAATTTAGTTAAGTGAGTAACCAGGCTCAGAAAATTTGACATTCTGGTTCCAGCTTACAACTCAGAAGCAGAAGAATCAGAAGAGGAATCATATAATTCTCGGAGCAGTGCTCTCCTTCTACAATATTTTACTTTCCCAGGAAGGTCTATCTCTTCCTTCAGTTCCATTGACTGGTTGAGTAATGATGGATATTGTTTCCAAAATGTTAAAATTCAATGTATCTAATATTATTGTCTCCTTATTCTGCCCCAGGAAACATATATGAATAAATAAAGATCTTGAGTTAGAGTTTTCTTTGAGTTACAGATGATAGTGACAGGCACTCTAACAAAAGTAAGAGATGGATGAGGAAGAAGAAAGCCAGCCAACCAAGGTATCAGTGCCCAAACTGTAAAGAATATGAAAAAATCTGGGCCAAGAATCTAGAATAATGCCTATGAATTGTAACCTAATTGGCAAGAAGGAAGGCACAAGGGCTTCTTTTAACTCTCAGGTGATGAGCAACTTCTTCAGTACAAGATCTTGGTTTTAGTCCTGACTAAGGAGCTTTGCAAATTTGCTCAGATCTCACTGGTCATCTGGACACACACTTTTAGTGGAGATGATTATCATTAACCATATTTTAATTCTAGCATTGTAGAGACAATGGCAATCAGAGCTAACTAATAGACTAATATATAATAACTAATATACAGATATAGAGCCCATGAGAAATCTTTCCACTGGTACTGAGAGGCAAGAAACACTCAAAACATACATTCAAATGCAGACAGTAACTTTGATGATGATGAATTTGATATAATGCATGATTCTGTGACTACTTGTGCAGCCTAAAAAAATAGGCATGAGAATTTCATTCATCAACTTACTGTTTAAGGTCCTTGACACAAGTTATTTGATTATGATCAGACTGATTTGATTATAATCCAGCTGATTTATGTTTCAAGTATTTTGTTGAAAAAAATAAAATAATAGTCTGAAAACTAAAGTCTCACTGAGGTACAAGTATTGCTTGTAAAAATCTAGGTCTCTAGACAAAAATAGGGCATTGGAAAAGAACCCAGAATCTTATAAATTAAGAGAACCCAAGAGGACGTAATATCTAGTCACCCAATTTTGTGAGCTTCACATACTGAAGCTAATGGACCACTTTCACATAGGTTTAATGGTCACAACAAAAAGTCTGTTTGAGCATTTATTTTACTTAGACATCAGAAAACTTTTATATGATTAATTAAGCTATGTAGACCTAAATTATTTTCAATTTGCCTTTTTCTTGTGGAGATTGGTGACAGTAGGCACCAAGACATTAGGCAAATGGAAAACACAAAAATAATATTACTTGAAACTAGTAACAGTGAAAACATCTGCTGAAATAGTCATACTATGAAATTCTACCAGGATGTTTCCGTAACACTGGGACTATAAAAAAAGTGAAAGACGAAGCTAAGTAAGCTCCCTACAGATTTTCTTTCATGGAAAATGCATTGTCTGTGCAAATTTGCCTCAAAACTGCCTATTTAAACACATTACTGTCTAAAATGTACACAATTTAACAAAGTGAATGCAGACATTATTAGATACTGAAAAATAATATGCAAAAACATTTCCTTTCTTACCTGTAAAAACAAGGGTGTCTTTTTCATGACCCCAAAGGTCAAATTCTGGCCAGTGCTGGAAGATATATACCCACATCACTGGTATCAGCACGTATCTCAGGAGAATCCCCACATGAGTAAGAAGAGGTAATTAGAAGTGAAATCACAGTGGAGAACATTCTCAAGGGAAGAAATACTCATTGGTTGTACTATGTTATCTTGAATCAAGATGTTAGAAAAAAAATCTATATTTTATACCTCAGTAGAGCTCAAAGCAATCACCTGTTATCCAACTAGGGTAACACTTTATACAAAACTGAAAAACAAATTTAAAATAGTCTGAGGACACTTAACTTCTCATGAAACCTGAATTCAGGTAATTGTCCTTCCCATCTCAAGAGCACTACTGAATTTCCTCCACTGTTTGCCCTTTATCAAGTTCACACAAGAATATGTACTAAGTACAAACTTCAATATTGTTTAATCTAAATAATAAAAATATTTTAAAAGTATTTCTTTGATAAAGGGATTTGCATTTTGATAGGATGCCTAAGACATGTAAACAAATAATACTAGGTACAAATAATTTCTGGAAAAAAACATGAAATGTTTTAGAAATAGATAGATGAAACAATGAAACAGTAAGAGACTGATGAAGAAACAAACAGGTAGAAG